TGCCTTGGACTTGTAAGGGTTGTACTTATGGACCATTGAGGAGTACAATAGATTTTAGATAATGCAAAATCAATCCATTCAATCAATGATGTACTTTGATGTTGAATTACATGTATTATTGCATATCACAAGCGCCGAAGGCAATGAGGGTCTTGTCTTTGACCCAACGCGACACTTGGCCTGTCTGCACGCCGAAGGCCTTGCCTATTGCATAGAATGTCTTGGCAGGGAATGACTTTGACTTTGAAGCGTAAGGATATGACCTTGCGCTTCCCTGTCTTGGAGCGGCTACGTGGTGGTTCTGCAGTCATTTGGCCTGTGACGTGTATGTCGTGCACTTTGAATAAATGTGAAACCGCGCGAAACATTTTGTCCAATCATAGTTATTCAAATGCGCGGAAACAATAGTGGTATATATTTCAGCTTTACCATTGAGTTATCACTATTTCGGAAACATTTTGGGGGTTACAGATGTACGGTAAATTCGGTAGACTATTCAGACAAAAACTTCGTATCGAATTTCGAAGATTGTGGGCTTGGTACGAAATCTGGTCTGAAAAGTCAGCTAGTTACCTGACTTTCACCCTCGAAGTCTGCTGTACTCTGGAACATTTCCTGAACAACGAGAGCCAATCAAATCGTCGAAATACAGATTGACGAAACCACACATTCATCATTTGACATGGGAAAGGCAATGCACAAGCAGGTTGCATGGAACCCAGAAATGGACACTGCTTTACTGCGTGAGGTCGTTCGCGTCGAACCATACGACGGCGAGTATGGAACTTTGATCCTGCGTTGGAAGGCCATTGCAGGCAGCCTCTCAACGTACTTCGAGGCGGACATTCCGTACCATTCGGCGCGGGAGCGCTACGACGGCATGGTGGACCAGTTCAAGGCTAAGGACAAGGCGCAACGGCTTTGGCGCACTGGAAGCGATGAAGAGGTCACCGAACAAGTGCAGCTGTTGCAAGACCTGATCGACCTACGCGACACAGCCGAAAGCACGAAGAAGGCGAAAAAGGACAAGGACCAAAAGCGTCGGGAGTCCTTGGAGTCGACAGGGTCTCAACTTTGTGTCGAAGCTGAGCAGCGAATGGCCAAACGTCAACGCACAGGTGGGTCTGGCGCAGTACCGACAAAGAAAGAAGAGCAGGAGGTAGTTGTGTCTGACCTACTGGAATTCGAAAGGCAGAAACACCTCGATGATCATGCGTACAGAATGGAACGTTTGTCATTTGAGAAGGAGGAGCAAAAAGTTCGACTAGCCCAACTTGCTGAAAGTACTCAACAAAGCGCGCAATTGGAAAAGATTTTGGCCGACATGGGAGATTTAATTAAAGCTGTTGTTAATAAATCAATGTGAATCCGCATCGAAATTGCAGTGTTAATTACAGTAATAATATACCAATTAATAGGCTAGCAGTCTGCACAAATTGTTAGGTCACTTCGTTCAATTACTGTATTATATGACCGCATGTAGATATGCCTCTAGTGATGGTGGCATCATTCCAAAATACACACTATTAGTGTTCTGACCACGATCGCACGTAATGCAGTTTGTCAAGAGCACGGCGACTTTGTACATCTTGGCAATTGGACTGTTTCCAATCCGCATTTTCTTTTTGTAGTCAACATTGGGCCAATATTGAACAACTTGTCCAAACGACCACTCCACGCTAATACGAACGCGGCTCATACTCTTGTTCACGACGCGCTGGGCATCCGTAAGTCGGGCACCTCCAAACGGCGAGGCCAGATGGTTTGAATAGCCGTAGGCTGGATCACCGTACACAACAAACCCAGCAAAGCGATCGTCGTCAGCCAACACGTTCTCCAAATTCGACTGCCGCAGGATGGTTAGGTGATGCCGTCGACCTTCGATCGGCCCGAAAGCATGGGAGATGATGCCATCGGGGGTGACCAACGATTGGAACTTTGACGACATGGCGTCGTTTATGTCCATTGAAATCGGTTCGCTGACGTTCATCACCACTCGGTCGGCAGCACTCACGAACGGTTCTGACGATGAAGGCCCACACGTTTTGAACTTCACCACCCTTTGCAATGATCGCATTAATGTACTCGACTAGTTGGGCGCTAATCCGGTCTCTATCGAGAAATATGATTTCGTCGAATTCGTTGTGGATATGGTCGAGGACATGCAGGAAAATGTTGCACATCCCACTCTGGGACCGTCCAAACATTGAGATCAAGTCTGACCAACGATCAGGGACCGCAAAACGTCGTAGGAGCACACATAACGCCTCGACGCCACTGCATGAAGTACGTTCGGTCGTCACAACTCGACTGGGGATGCGCAAACACGCGGATAAACGGCGTAAGGACGCTTTGGTGAAGCGAAACTTCTCGATGCAGTCCGCATCGGAATAGTCGTCGAGGGTAAACGTTATTGCGGGTATGGTGAGGCGGGAGCGTCGCTGTTGTTGACTCAACAACGCCAGTCGCACATGGAAGCGAAGCGAAGACCGATGGACGAATTGATGGTGCAGGGGGTGCATTGGGAAAAGTAATCGGATTGGGTGTACATTTTGCCATGTGTTTAGTCTGCAGACTTTTCATGTTTGCTAATTATGAAATTTGAAGAAACCAAGCTGTCGACTACAACCAAATCGAACGAAGTAAATAGTGTGAAATCTATCTACTTTTCGCACTTGCTAAAAGTATCTATCGTATTTTAAAGACCATAAAAAAGTAAAGGAAGAGTTCATTGGCTGATAGGCTCCAAAATTCAAATCTCGCGCTCTAAATCGGCTTCGAATCTCCACCACCCGAATAAAATTACACCACATACCCAAATCAACTCATTTTCGAATTTGCCGCCATGGGCAATCGCCGTCGAGAGCTTACAAGCGACATGAAAGTCGAAGTCATTCAACGCATTCAGGCATTTCTCCATAGAGGAAAACCAGTCCGTGGCGCTTTCACAAAAACAGCTGCGGAGGTTGGCATCACCCGCCAAACAGTTGCGTACGTCTGGCGCAAGTACTGCCTCACTGGAAGTGCAGCGTCCAAGTGGGCCCAAGACCACAGTACACTACTAACGGGGTCCAGGAGCTTGTGTGTGCTGGGCCTCCCGACCAGAGGTCGACTATGCGGGACATATCCGGCGCGACAGGACTAACCATGGGCACCCTCAGCCGTCATCTGAAACGTGGAACGTTCGAACGCCGGTCAACTCGCATCAAGCCGCTACTGACTGACAACAACAAGGCGCAACGTGTAGAATTTTGACCCTCGAATTTGAGCCTCTATTCGACGTGATTCATATTTACGAGAAGTGGTTCAACACAGACAAGGACAGACGCAAGACTTACCTCGTGCCTGGCAATGCTTTGTCCACGCTCTTGGAAGAGCAAGCGGTTCATGCTCAAGGTGATGTTCTTCGCCGTTGTCGCTCGACCCCGCTATGATGTTGGCCGTGGTGAAATGTTCAACGGCAAACTGGGCATGTGGACTTTCGTGTAGCTTGCTCCCGCTGCCCGCAACTCCCACGACCGTCAAGCTGGTACAATGGTCATCACGCCGGTCAACGTGAATGCTGTCGTGTTTCGAGACTTCATCATTCACAAGGTCGTACATGCAATCCAAGTGCACACAAGCGCGTCGTACTTCAACACGACAATACAATGCCGCATGGATCCGTGACTGACCGGGAGCTCGAGGTAGTGTCCACAGATGGCTGGAAGTTTATGGTTCGTTCGCAATCTCAGAACAGCCCAGACTTGAACGTCTTGGATCTGAGGTTCTTTGCATCCTTTCAATCTGTACAGTACAAGACGATGAGCCGCACAGTGGATGATGTCATGCCCTCGACTTTTGCTTCTTTCGAGGCTACGAGAAGCTCGAGTGCGTGTTTCTCATCTTTTAGGCTGTCATGTGTATTGTCATCGAGAATTGAGGGTAGCAACCACTTCGCGTTACCCCACCTGAAGAAGGCATCGACGCGACGCACTACAGTATTCTGCGGGCAAGCTCATTTGGGAGACTTGGGATTAAAGACCAATGAAAGTATTGTATTTCCTTGCCAGCCAAATAATTCTTCTTTGTTCACTGTATTGTGGAAAAAGTGCGAGATTCCTCTGTTAAGAGTAATGTGGGACAGAGGAAGTAACGTGATCGACCAGTGATGGGCCGAAATTTTTCGATTTTCGTTGATGAATTCCTCCGCTGGTATTTGTGTTACAAGTATGACCATGACATATTCTGAACGGCGGCGTCAAGCACTATCAGGTACACCTAAACGCAATCGGTTTAGACAGTTCATGTTCGCAGAAATAAATTTCAAAGTTGCAGAATTTCCATTGAGTCCCAGTGATGGGCCGAATTTTACACTTGATTTAATTATTGAATAGGGTTGTGGCAAACCATGACCAGCAACCTGAAAATTATAAATTGATAAAGGAATATCATATCTCGACAGGAATAAGATTTTGAAGAATTGTGTCAACCAATCTTCGAACGGATGAAACTCACACAAGCTTACGGGATGCTCCAGGCCATCAATTCTCCTCACAGAGTACGGGCGCAGAAAAAAAAACTTGGCTGGTTATGCTGTGCCTGAATGGTTGGTTTTCCTTGTCAACGAGTGATGCCAATAAAAGTTTCTCATTTCTCAATTTTCCTCCCTGGCGCCCATTGCGGGTGCCTGCAGCGTAATGTTCGTCACCATCAAGTGCGCCCGCGTCCGCCTAGTACCCCATGCTGTAATACTTCTCTACAACGGAAGATGGTAAGGGGGCAGGACAACGGTTAGCCAGTGAAGGTCATCCTTCGAGGTGGGCACGATGCTTTGGAAAACTGTGAAATCCCAATAAACGTCACTATTATATCAATGTATGATTTCCTGTCTTGTGTTCACATAATAAAGCTCCACAAAGTAAAATAATCACTTCACATATACATGTACTGACCAAAAAATTAATTCACTGTACTTCTACTCAAACCATATCCAATCGAATCAAATCCAAGTAGTGTAGTGGCTTCATACGTGATAAACCTCACCCAATAGAATTTAATATTTCAAATGCAAAAAATAGATTGATTTACATCCTACACAACACATTCAACAACTACGTTGCCGTCGCTGGGTGCAACCGGCAACGCCACTTCCCCTTGCCCAGTTTTCTTCTTCTTGCGCTTTGGCTTGGTTGCAGCTTGAGCTTGAAGCAAGTCGTTGTACGCCGACGTAATAAACATGCCTCCAACTTTCAAAGTCTTTTTCGAGGACTTCTTCGACGTCTTCACTTGAGGTTTCCGAAGATCCTTGTCGCGTACCTCGCCACGCACCATGTCGATTTCTTGCACCCAGTAATCATCCAATTCATTGCTTGGTAGCGCAGATGGCTTGAAAAGCGACAGCCGGTACATCATCTTGTCCAGAGACAACGGACACAATCCAGTGCACACAAAGCCATTTTGGATGGCAGCCGTGCTCGTCGAATTCGCCCAAACATCACATGCAATCGCAACGGCTCGCTGCTTGTTGATGTTTGTTGGCACATCATTCCAAATGGAGTCGGCCACCGCATGTCGAATCGCCTGTTTGAACGGGCGAAACACGGTCACGTCCAGGGGTTGCAAAAGATGGGTCACATTCGCCGGCAGAAACTGCAACAAAATGTTGAGTGCCTTGGCTTCAGCGTAAATGAACTCCGAAAAATGCGATGAGCAGCCGTCCATGATGAGCAGAATCGGTCGCTGTGTTCTCGACGGAATGTTCGCGTCAAGCATGGACAGCCACTTGCGGCATATGAAAGAGTTGGTCCAACCCTTCTCTGACGTCGTCACAGCAGCGTCAGGAATTGTGAGACTGTCACAGGTTCCAGTTGATACACTTTGGCCAGGCAGGACAAACAGCGGTGGTAGCTTCCTTCCATCTGCTCCAACACACGCCACAATGGTAACATGTGTCGAAGCAGTGGACTCCTCGGCATGGACAGATGTTGTTGATTTATGGACGACCACCTTCTTGGATTTCTTCGAAAGAGAGAAGCTGGTTTCATCCATGTTGAAAATACGTGTTGGGTCCATGTTGACCAATGACGCCGAATGTGCGAGTTGGTGGACAAACTCAACAATGATAGTGGAGTCGACAGAATTGCGAGACTTGGTGAGCACTTGTGCTTTCAAGATCTTGAGGTTAGGGTGACGGCCCAAGAACCGACTGTACCAGCCGGTTGACAGACTCGGGAGATGTTGGATGCCGTGTACGCGCTGCAGCATATGGGTTGCCTTCTGTTTGATTTCGCGGCAACCGACAGGATGACCGTCTCGTGCCATTACGAGCACCCATGTGGCCAAGTCGTCCTCAAACATACGCGGCAGCAGAGGAGATGGCCCCATGGTTACGTCATTGGTGTTGACGCCGGACTTGGCTTTGGACACATGTTTGCGAAGTGTACGTTGCGGAATGTCATATGCGCTTGCAGCAGAGGGAACAGTATGTTCTTCGCTTAAAACTGCTTGGACGGCCAGGCTCAGCGTGTCATGTGCGTACGGCGTTCACGAAATTCAAATGAGTAAACCTTTGAAATATAATTCTTTTCCCACCATTATGTTTTACAAGGTAATTTGCATTAAGAGTTTATATTTCATCCAATCAGAATTTATTTGTAAGAAGATTGGACAAAAGAAATCGGCCCATCACTGATCGATCACGTTATAACGTTATCCCCAAAATCTTCAGTTATTCATTACTAGTACTCGTACTTCGAAGTATATTACCTATAAGTATTAGAGAGTTTTCGGAAGCACTTTTAGATAAGATTCAGGTTGTGGAACTAATCGCAAAAGTGGAAAAAGTAAATTTTCGATGAAGAATTCAAGATGCGGAAATGAAATACTCATAACTTTCGGAAGTACTTCGAAGTACTTTTCAGAGATTCAGATGCAGATATATAACCAGATATTAACCGAACGAGAGTGTTTTTACTGCTCCACAAGGTTTGACGGACGAGGCGTGAAAGTAGTTGAGCACCGTTGATAGGCGTCCCCTGGGAGCCGATATAACCATGAATACATTATAGAACCTCGCGGGCATGTAAGCTAGCTTCTGATTATCCCGAGGGGTTCGGCGTATTGCCGGGGTTTAGCGTTAGCGAACTACTGGCGATGCGCCAAACCCCGGAAAATGAAGACTACACTTGAACCTAACTAATGTAGGTTCCAGGGCTATGTGGTTCCGATGTTTCAATGCTCTACGTGGGGCACGTTCTTGCGCCATTCTGCTACTTGTATCCGAGTCGGTGTCTTATTAGTGGCCATTCAACATGCTCACCCCAGTTCCTTGGTTCCTTTGCTCTGAAGTATGACAACCAGTCGCTCGGTTAGACCCCGCTCGTCCATCCATTCTAGGCGTCTAACTATCGCTCTGTCCAAGATATGACTTGTATGGATAGATTAGGCGACTCGGGGAACCTTTTTTTTACATAAAAAAATAAATACTATCAATTTTAGATTTTGAATCGACATATTTATTATACAAAAAACTATTTCAGTTGATAAGTTTGTTAAAAAATAAAATAGAATAAAAAATATAAAAAATAGTATAAACAAGCTTAGTATTTTACAATACTACTATGTAGTATTTCTTTTTTAAAGAAAAAAGAAATTAGTAAAGAATTAGAAAATCAATTAAAAGAATTAAAAATGACAAAAAAGAAAAAAATAGAAGAGTTCTATTTTTCATTATTCTTTATTAGTGTATTTCACTACTATGAATGTCGATTGCGTAAAGGGTGTACCGGCCCGCCGATGCGAGACTGGCAGTCACCATTTTCGGAACGTATTATCCGTACCTTTATTCTCCTATCTTAAAACTTGAGACACTTTTGAGATCCCCTTCAAAGTTACGGATAATTAGGGATGTATCCGGGTGTTTTTGTCCGATTTCGTCGGGCGCCAATACAGTCGGAACACCGCTTTTGAAATAAGATAGCCCAATTTCCTGTAATAAATTATAAACCTCTATAAATTGGAAATCAAATCTTTCCGAATCTCAGGAGCTGTTGAGATAGGAGGCTTGTGATAGGGATATCGATATCAACGAATCGTCGAAAGAGCTCTAATATTTGGGGATGCGTTGAAAATGCTCTAAGAACAACTATCCATTCTGCCATATACTAGTAAGTACTTATGGCTGTTGGTGACTTTATACAAGAAGGCCATGTGTTCGTGTGAGCTTCTGACCTTTTCATTATTGTCTTGCCCTTGGTGGCTTGCCCAGTCAATATAGCAAGGTTCTCTCGTAACGTTACATGTTCTCTCTGCGGAGAAATGCAAGCATCGCCAAACGCTCAGACTTTGTCGTTCTCCATTCTCGCTTCTGAAAACTGGCTTGCTCCAGCAATTACCACTCTCGCTGATTGGTTGTTTCTATTAATGATCTGATTGGTTGTTCACAGGTTCAAGTTGGTTTTGCTTTTCGTGATGACAAGCAAAATTTGAAAGGCAGATTTTTTTTTGAAAAGCAAGATGATTTCTATGTTGACTCTCCCTAAGACTACAGTGTCGTGGTGCAATTACCACTACTAATCAGTCCCATCTAGCAACCCAATCAAATCATCTTGAGCCTCCCTTTCTATCGCAGTTGTCAACTTCCCCCACAAGCCAACATGCTCACTGCTGCCATGTGGAGCGCTGCCATTGGCCTAGCTTCCGTGCTTGCCACTGCCTCCCACAAAGTCAAGTCGCTGCCTCATTACAACGACACCAAGCCCATCAACTTTGATCAGTATGCCGGCCACATTCCGCTGCCCAGCAACGGCCAAAACATGTTTTACTGGCTCGTGGAGTCCGAGTCCAATCCATCCATGGACCCGCTGGTGCTGTGGCTCAATGGTGGCCCTGGCTGCTCGTCTCTCAATGGCTTCTTTGTCGAGTTGGGTCCATTTGTCGTCCAGAGTGACTTGAGCGTCAAACGCAATCCGTACGCGTGGAACCGCAAGGCCAACATGGTGTTCTTGGACTCCCCGGCGGGCGTCGGCTTTAGCCAGCCGCTTCTCAACGCGTCCGAGTACACCGACGACGTGACTACCGCTCGATCGTACGAATTTCTTGAGCAATTTCTCGAGCTGTACCCTCAATACAAGAACCGCGACTTTTACATTACGGGCGAGAGCTACGCCGGTATGTACATTCCGTTCCTTGTGCACAAACTCGTCACAGACCCCGTGGAGAACCTCCACTTGACAGGGTTTGCCATTGGCAACCCGTCCACGGACCAAAAACTTGACGGTACACTGACACGTCCTGTACTGTACGAGTGTGACCGTGTGTATTGTAGACGGGTCGTACATGGATTACTACTACAGCCATGGGCTCGTGTCTATTGAAACATACCGAGCGATTCAAAACAACTGCCAACCGTCCGAGTTATGGCTATGCCAAGACGGACACCCTGGCTGCTCGGCTTTGTGTGCTACCACCTATGCAGCCGCGGAACTAAGCATCGACTTTGACGAGATGACTCCGTACTACATTTACGGCGACATTTGCCTCCTTCAAGCCAACCAGACAAAAGCGCTCCAGCACCAGAAGAACCACATGATACGGCCGCTCACTCATCGCGGCACCATTGGGCCTTGTACCGATACCTTCACGACCTTGTACTTGAACCAGCCCCAAGTATTGGATGCGATTCACGCCAGCGGTGGCAACTCATGGTCTGTCTGCAATCGTAACGTGAGTCGGCGCTATACGTTGAGCTTATCCTCTCTGGACAAGTACCCCACGATCCTTCAAGCTGGCTTGAAAGGTCTCATCTACAGCGGCGATGCCGACGCCATTGTCAACTTTATCGGCACCCAGCGCTGGCTAACGGACGATGGGCTTAACCTGACCGTGGTGGAGAAGTGGCAGGCTTGGTTTGACCCAGATAATCAACTGGCGGGGTACACTGAACGGTACACCAACTTGACGTTTACGACGGTCAAGGGCGCGGGCCACATGGTGCCTGCCACGAGACCGCTGCATGCATTGTACTTGTTCGAGTGTTTTGTGCACGGTCAAGTGGCGTGCGACTCGTTTGAGTACCCGAAAGACCCCACCGAGTACTTGAGTGGCGCCGACTTGACGGCCCCTACAACCAGCGGACAAGAGGATGCCGCGGGAGTGGTGGTGTGGTGGTGGCTCGGGATTGCGGCGGCTGTGGCGGTCGGTATGGCTGTAGTCGTGGTGGTGCTCAAGAAGACTCAAAAAGACAAGAAGTTGCAGTACGTTCAACTCAACTCAGGGACGGCCAAACCAGTTTACTCGTAAGCGAGAGGAGATGGCCATCCCTGTGACCAAAGTCAATTCGCCCATGCAAAATACAGTCTCCGCTTGGTTAAAAGCGTTTACAGTATTCAAATCACATATTATGTAGTATACCGGTAAAACACCATCTCGTGATTCGAACCCAGTTCTCCTGCAAGCAGGCGCATTTCCATTGCGCCACAATGTCGTGTTCTTGAACATCTTTCTTTCGTAAGCTTCTTTGAGCAACACGACACTGCAGACTTACCACATTGGTGGATGCACAGGATTCGTGGCGGGTCTGCGGAAGGTCGACGGTTGGTAGATAGCTGTGCTATCGACCATCGCTAGTCTCATCAAACTATTATGATCAAAAACATCGCTGCGCCCATCTGTCTTATGCAGCATGCCAACCCCTCTTAGCTCCACCATCAGTAGTGGACTTGCTAAAATGTGCAAGGAATATTGTCGATTTGATACAAATTTGGGGAGGGGGTGCAATCGAATCGCGCCGACGAAACCGATCCACAATCGATCTGATTGGTTGAATTTCATTGAGAAGGTTTTGATTGGCTAATAATTTTGAGCTCATCTGAAGTCGCCAATCAAATCGATTTAAATTCCAAAGGGAAACCTCAACACGAAATTTCACTCGAAAGCACAATAAGACGCCATGCGTTTTCCAGTTAACAGTAAGAGGAAGTTGCAAGTAGTTTTCAGAAATAGCACGAGCCAATCAAAATTAATTTACCTCTTTTTTCACGATTGAGAAAATGAAATCGAGGGCCTCTTTTTCCAATTTTGGTTAGTGAGTTGCGTAAAAAATCGCACAAACAGAGGTAAAAAAGTACTACGGTAAGCTTAGTAGGAAACTGTATTGTGGTATATTCGATACGAATTTCCAGACCCCGCGACTCGAATTTCGCCGCCGAATCGAATCACGAATCGGTGCTATTGGCTAATCCATTTTTGAGTGGATTTAATTGGCTATTGCAGAAAGGACAAGTATATTCAACCAATCAGAACTCCTAAGATACCAAGTTCGTTTTACTCCAGTGCTTTTAGCCAATGAAAATAAGTTGGACCATTTGGAATAAAAATATTTTCCAAATACCCCAGGTGGACGATAGAAAGCAATAGTCAGGTGCCCGACGAGCGCAATGGAGACACGCGATTCAACCTTGAAAGAGGAATGAAGTTTCACTTGGGAAGCGCCTTCGTTGTGTCTCCATTGCGCTAGTCGGGCACCTGACTATTGCTTTCCATCCGCCGTGGGTTTGTGCTTACTAACAAGCCCGACAGCATCGAATAGAGTTGTGTCCTGTACTTTTCCTAATGAAATCACATTTATATGGGGTTTTGTATGGTATACATGTAAGCTTACAGGGGGCGACAACATCAAAATCACTCGATGCTGTCGCCCACTGCGTGTAAGCTTACATAATATTGTGCTTTTCACATATTTTGCCCATTGTTTTAGCTCCTAAAACCATCCAAAGTTTAACCTAAACTGAAGTTGCACTCGACGTAAAAGTAAGCTTCCCTACCGTTCTGTCATTGGCTGATCTAAAACTTGCGTTGTTTTACTAAAACTACTTCGTTTTATTAACTCCCGTGGCCAAGCAGTCATGCAGAGTAATGACCTACTGGGGTAAGCTCGCAGTGCACCAGCTCACACGAGCTTTGCAGCCAGCGTGTTAGCAACTCGTTGGCACGAAAAGTCGAGCAAGAAGCACTCAACATCAACCTTTATCGAGCATAGTCAAGAATCACACTCGAGTGTATTAGGTAATCCACTCTGTAAACCCCCGC